CTGCAGCTTGACCACAAAGAGCTCGTGGTGTGGCTTCCTCGGCCGGCTCCCCGAGCCTGTGCGCTGCGTCCCACGCTCGGGGGTGGCCTGCTTACACGGCCGGCTTCCCTTCCCTGTCCCCCGCCTTTACTCCACCCGTTTCTGCGCTCCTCTTTTGAAGTCTCATTTATCATCGTTACTTGGGAAAAGTTGCTGTAGGGCGTGCGCACTCATCAGAGCGAGGGGAAGAGAAAGCACGCTGCACGCTGCTGGCCAGGATGCGGCCCCAGCTGGCCGTGCAGGAGAGTGCAGGAGAGCGGCCCCACTCGCCCTCTCCCCGCTGGTCTCTGTCGATCTGTCTGTGAGCTCACTGCCTCTTTCCTCATTTCCTTTCCGGGGCGAATCCACGCGGTGACTTTTGTGTCGATAGTATGTTTTTTAGCTCTGGGACTTTGGTTTTCTGTAGTTTTTGTTTCTCTGTTAGAACTTTGTTTTTCCTCCCGTGTACTATAGGGCATGTGTGCCCACCAGGGAGGGAGGGAGGGAAGGGGAGAGAGACAGACAGACAGAGCGAGAGGAGGTGAGGAGGCACCTGGCGGGCTGGCCGCCATCCAGCCGCTCTCCATTCTCTCGGGACCTGAGGCGCATATGCCGACATGCCTGGTGTATCTTTAAAGCTTGCAGGTCAAGGACTCGAACTTCCCAGTTGTCCGTGTGGTACCCGGCTCCCTACACACCATGTGAGCCTGTGGCTGTCCTCTGCCCCATGCCTGCTGTGCCTAGCCCTCCCTGCCCGTGTTGGGCACTTCTCGGGAGATTGTCATGTTCTTTGGGCCTTTGCACGTGGAGTGTTTTTGGGTCACGTGACAAGAACATCCCGCAGACCCATCAGCTGGGCCAGCCCTGTCTACCTGCCGTTTGCGGGCAGTCCCTCTGGCCTGGCTCAGTTCTCAGGACCTTTGTGTACGGGGCGGGGGGCCGTGTTGTGCAGGTTCATGCTTCTCACCAGGGATCCCCTCCCGGCCCTCCTTGCTGTGGGTCCCCCACTTTGCAGCTCCAAGGAACCCCTCCCTCACCCTCTGGCTGGGAAGATGCGGTTTCACCAGTTTTGGCTGGCCATGCCGTCACTGCATAGTCAGTGTGGCCAGGGTCAGCCGGGTTGGCTGGAGGAGGAGGGAGAGTCAGGGTTACCCCCAATTCCTGGTCCTCTGCTGGCAAGGCCTCCCCGCCACGTCTCGGCTGGCTGTGGCAGCTGCACTCCTGTCCCCTAGGGCCCGCGAGGCACCGGAACTGCAGTGGGGTGTGTGAGACCCCAGCGGACTGGATGGGCCCTGCTGGCGAGGGCCGGTGCCTTGGGGTGTCAGTGGCCTCCAAGGTTGGGCTCCCTGGGGACTGTGCACCATCCTGGTGGGTCCTCGTGGGTGTGAGCGACGTTGCGCTGCCCTCCCGGGCACCTGCGGAGGAGGCCTGTGCTGCTCACAGGCCCCGGCATGCTGACCTCCTCACTGCCCCTGCAGCTGGGGAACTGGTGTGTGCTGGTGCTCACCTGGGGAGGGCCTGGGGTCCGCGCCCTTCCTAGTGCACCTTTTTAATGTCACTGACTTGCTTTTTCGGAGAGCGAGGGAAGGGGGACCAGAGAGAGCATTGCCACCAGGACCTTGAGTCTGTGACGTGCTCACTCCAGCTGTGGCAGCCCCGGGCTGGGGCATGCTCCCTCTGGCCACCGGCTGGTTGAGTTCTCTGCTTCAGTTCCTCTGCTTGTGACTGAGGGTGACTCTGCAGTGGCGGCCCCTGCTGTTCCTGTTGTCCCCAGGAATGACCTGGCCCCTCTGAAACCAGGAGGGAGGGAAGGGAGGAGCAGAAGGGCCGGCAGGTCTGTCTGTCACCTGCCCTGAGCCCAGAGTCCAAACGGAGAAGCCGGCCCTGCGAGCTGACCTCCTCCCCAGCCCCTGCCAGCCTGCGGGCTCTCGGGCCCCTGTCCTCTCCTCCCGGGCCCTCCGTGTCCTCAGCTGTCCTGAAGCCTGTGCACGCGTCCCGCTTCCTTTCTGCACGCTCTGCGGGCCCCCGCTTCTGCCTGTAGTAAAGGTGTCGTTTTCCCTGACACGCACCGTCCTGCGTCTGAAGTGTGTGCGGCACACCCCCAGTCTGCAGTGTGTGGACCGAGTGAGTGCGGTAGGGTTAGAAGGCGGCCGCGGGAGCTAAGAGCTGGTCCCCACACGGCCAGTCATGCGGCTTGAGTCCCAGCCCCAGTGTCTTGAAGAACTGGCCAGTTAGTTGCACGTGTACCCCAGAGTCCCCGCCGGTGAAGCGCGAGAAAGGGCGTGGCGTGTTCAGCACTTCGGGGGCGCTTCCTCTAACTCTGGCGAGGGCAGACACGGTCTTCTGATGGTTTCAGAAGCGTGGTTATGGGAGTCGCTTTGTATCGACTTTCTTTTGAAGTTTTTGCTCTCGGGGGTGTGCACTCCCTGGAGAGAGAGAAAGTGAGATGGCACCCCCGGGGGGTTGGCCTCTGTTGCTCCTATAGACTCCCCTCAGGATATCAGGCACAGCAGGCCTGCCCGGAGTGTTTTCAGGCCCTCAGTCTGGGTTTGAACCACATGTCGGCCACGTGGGACCCAGCTGTCCCAACCACCACACCCCGCTGGCTGACTTCGTACTGGTGGGGTTTGAAGTGGCTGCTCGCCGGAGTCGTCTCTGCTGGGTGGCTTGTAGAAGAGACACTTGGGGGGCCGGTAGGCGGCGTGGTGGTCAAGGGCACTGAATGCCCATGTGGCTGACCACCGTTCAAGTCCTGGACCTGACGGCTCTCTCTGGCTAGTTCTCTCTGGCTTCCCTGGGGCCCTGCTGTTCTCGGAGATGCCTCTCTGTTTCTGTGCTGTGTCCCTCGGGGCTTGCTCCGTCCTCGCTACGGCCAGCGTTGACTGGGACCTGTGCCCTGTCCCCACTCAGTGCGAGCCTTCATCTTGGGAGACCCGGTGGCCTTTGTCTCCTGAGTGCCCTGTCTGCCCTCAGAGAAGACCCATCGCAGTTGCCCCAGGGAGGGGGGAGGGTGGCTTCTGCCACCAGCTGATGTGGCCTCAGGTGCCCTGAGGCTTTGTTGGGGTCTCTGAAGCCATGGGACTGAACGAGGCCCCCAAGTGCCTCCAGTATGTGACAGTAGGGGAAGGAGGGCAGGGCTGAGGCTAGGAGGCCGAACACAGTTGGCCCACTGCTGGCCACGGCGGGCCAAAGAGGAGGCCGCGCACCTTCCCGTGTGGGTGAGTGTCCCAAGATGTCGGAGTGTGTTGCAGCTCAGCACCAGCCCCACGGGCCCTGTGGGCATGCATCCCACGGCGCCCGGGGCTGAGGATGGGGCGCACAGACCCTCTCCCCTGGGTTTTCTGGTGCTGCTGGTCTGAGCCCAAATACATTGTGGTCTCCCTTGGGCCCCGTCAGCTGCCTGTCGTACTGGCCGAGGGCACCGGTGTGTGAGCGTTCTGCGGTGCGGGCAGACCCGGGCGTGCGGGGCCTGCTCACCTGCCTCTCTCCCTCCTAGACAATATCCCCGAGGACCTCAGGGACCCGTTCTACGTGGACCAGTATGAGCAGGAGCACATCAAGCCCCCGGTCCTCCGGCTGCTGCTGTCTAGTGAGTTGTACTGCCGTGTCTGCAGCCTCATCCTGAAAGGGGACCAGGCGGCCGCCCTCCAGGGACACCAGTCTGTCATCCAGGCCCTGGCCCGGAAGGGGATCTATGTGATGGAGAGCGACGACACCCCTGTGACGGACACCGACCTCAGCTGCACGCCCGTCAGGATGGTGAGTGGCTGGCACAGGCCCGTGTCTGCGCAGGGGCGTCCTTGGGTAGGCGTGTCCTTCACCGTGCCTCTCC